GCATAAGGGGAATTACCAATTAACCCCTGGCTGTCTTCAAGAGAGAGCTGGACAGATACCTAAAGTCAGTGCTGGATCAGCCGGGCTGTGGTTCGTACGTTGGACTGCGTGCGGCCAGCAGTAACAGCCTGTTTGATCAGGCCCTGATCCACCAGGAGGCCTTGTCGTGGACCGGGCCGCGGGGGCATTGATCCCTGGAATGACCTCCAGGTATCCCTCACCCCAGCCCACCATCCTTCACCCTAACCCACCATCTCTCACCATTAATTTTAAACTAATTCATTGTTCACTGAACCATTTTTTTAAACTCTTCTGCTACGACAGGTTGACCCATAGAAGAAAGCACATTCGCCATCATTCATTCAGTCGCCGTCTTTCCAGAAGTGTGCTGACATCGCAGTTAGATCACCCCACCAACTGTAACATCCTCACCCCTCCTTTAGAATGCAAACACTGTAATTCTCACCTTCAGGACTGTAATATTCCTGCCTATCCTTCAGAGTGCTAGTACTGTACTTCTTACCTCCATCACTGTATCATCCTCACTCATCTTTCAGAGTGCAGGCACTGTACTTCCCACCTCCATCACTGTAACATCCTCACTCATCCTTCAGAGTGCAGGCACTGTACTTCCCACCTCCATCACTGTAACATCCTCACTCATCCTTCAGAGTGCAGGCACTGTACTTCCCACCTCCATCACTGTAACATCCTCACTCATCCTTCAGAGTGCAGGCACTGTACTTCCCACCTCCATCACTGTAACATCCTCACTTATCCTTCAGAGTGCAGGCACTGTACTTCCCACCTCCAGCACTGTAACATCCTCCCTTATCCTTCAGAGTGCAGGCACTGTACTTCCCACCTCCAGCACTGTAACATCCTCACTTATCCTTCAGAGTGCAGGCACTGTACTTCCCACCTCCAGCACTGTTACATCCTCACTCATCCTTCAGAGTGCAGGCACTGTACTTCCCACCTCCAGCACTGTAACATCCTCACTTATCCTTCAGAGTGCAGGCACTGTACTTCCCACCTCTAGCACTGTTACATCCTCACTTATCCTTCAGAGTGCAGGCACTGTACTTCCCACCTCCAGCACTGTAACATCCTCACTTATCCTTCAGAGTGCAGGCACTGTACTTCCCACCTCCAGCACTGTAACATCCTCACTCATCCTTCAGAGTGCAGGCACTGTACTTCCCACCTCCAGCACTGTAACATCCTCACTCATCCTTCAGAGTGCAGGCACTGTACTTCCCACCTCCAGCACTGTTACATCCTCACTTATCCTTCAGAGTGCAGGCACTGTACTTCCCACCTCCAGCACTGTAACATCCTCACTTATCCTTCAGAGTGCAGGCACTGTACTTCCCACCTCCAGCACTGTTACATCCTCACTTATCCTTCAGAGTGCAGGCACTGTACTTCCCACCTCCAGCACTGTAACATCCTCACTCATCCTTCAGAGTGCAGGCACTGTACTTCCCACCTCCAGCACTGTAACATCCTCACTCATCCTTCAGAGTGCAGGCACTGTACTTCCCACCTCCAGCACTGTAACATCCTCACTCATCCTTCAGAGTGCAGGCACTGTACTTCCCACCTCCATCACTGTTACATCCTCACTTATCCTTCAGAGTGCAGGCACTGTACTTCCCACCTCCATCACTGTAACATCCTCACTTATCCTTCAGAGTGCAGGCACTGTACTTCCCACCTCCATCACTGTAACATCCTCACTTATCCTTCAGAGTGCAGGCACTGTACTTCCCACCTCCATCACTGTTACATCCTCACTCATCCTTCAGAGTGCAGGCACTGTACTTCCCACCTCCAGCACTGTAACATCCTCACTTATCCTTCAGAGTGCAGGCACTGTACTTCCCACCTCCAGCACTGTTACATCCTCACTTATCCTTCAGAGTGCAGGCACTGTACTTCCCACCTCCATCACTGTAACATCCTCACTCATCCTTCAGAGTACAGGCACTGTACTTCCCACCTCCATCACTGTAACATCCTCACTCATCCTTCAGAGTACAGGCACTGTACTTCCCACCTCCATCACTGTAACATCCTCACTCATCCTTCAGAGTACAGGCACTGTACTTCCCACCTCCATCACTGTAACATCCTCACTCATCCTTCAGAGTACAGGCACTGTACTTCCCACCTCCATCACTGTAACATCCTCACTCATCCTTCAGAGTGCAGGCACTGTACTTCCCACCTCCATCACTGTAACATCCTCACTCATCCTTCAGAGTGCAGGCACTGTACTTCCCACCTCCATCACTGTAACATCCTCACTTATCCTTCAGAGTGCAGGCACTGTACTTCCCACCTCCAGCACTGTAACATCCTCCCTTATCCTTCAGAGTGCAGGCACTGTACTTCCCACCTCCAGCACTGTTACATCCTCACTTATCCTTCAGAGTGCAGGCACTGTACTTCCCACCTCCAGCACTGTTACATCCTCACTCATCCTTCAGAGTGCAGGCACTGTACTTCCCACCTCCAGCACTGTTACATCCTTACTCATCCTTCAGAGTGCAGGCACTGTACTTCCCACCTCCAGCACTGTAACATCCTCACTTATCCTTCAGAGTGCAGGCACTGTACTTCCCACCTCTAGCACTGTTACATCCTCACTTATCCTTCAGAGTGCAGGCACTGTACTTCCCACCTCTAGCACTGTTACATCCTCACTTATCCTTCAGAGTGCAGGCACTGTACTTCCCACCTCTAGCACTGTTACATCCTCACTTATCCTTCAGAGTGCAGGCACTGTACTTCCCACCTCCAGCACTGTAACATCCTCACTTATCCTTCAGAGTGCAGGCACTGTACTTCCCACCTCCATCACTGTAACATCCTCACTTATCCTTCAGAGTGCAGGCACTGTACTTCCCACCTCCAGCACTGTTACATCCTCACTTATCCTTCAGAGTGCAGGCACTGTACTTCCCACCTCCAGCACTGTAACATCCTCACTTATCCTTCAGAGTGCAGGCACTGTACTTCCCACCTCCAGCATTGTTACATCCTCACTTATCCTTCAGAGTGCAGGCACTGTACTTCCCACCTCCAGCACTGTAACATCCTCACTCATCCTTCAGAGTGCAGGCACTGTACTTCCCACCTCCAGCACTGTAACATCCTCACTTATCCTTCAGAGTGCAGGCACTGTTCTTCCCACCTCCATCACTGTAACATCCTCACTTATCCTTCAGAGTGCAGGCACTGTACTTCCCACCTCCATCACTGTAACATCCTCACTCATCCTTCAGAGTACAGGCACTGTACTTCCCACCTCCATCACTGTAACATCCTCACTCATCCTTCAGAGTGCAGGCACTGTACTTCCCACCTCCAGCACTGTAACATCCTCACTCATCCTTCAGAGTACAGGCACTGTACTTCCCACCTCCATCACTGTAACATCCTCACTCATCCTTCAGAGTGCAGGCACTGTACTTCCCACCTCCAGCACTGTTACATCCTCACTTATCCTTCAGAGTGCAGGCACTGTACTTCCCACCTCCAGCACTGTTACATCCTTACTCATCCTTCAGAGTACAGGCACACTAAACAAATAAACTTGTTTATTGCCGTTCCAATTTTCGTTAAAGTCAGCCATTTAGTGGAAAACGTTAAAAAAAAAAAAATACGGTAACTTGAAACTTAAAAAAATAGAATTAGTGATATAACAACTGGATTTATAATTATTTTTGAGAAAGAGTATTACGTAAATTTAATGATTTATATATATTAAAATGTATTTCATATGTTGCTGATCAATTTGTATCTAAATTCAAAATGTACAGAGAACTTTCACGGCGCGCATAACGGAGATAAAACACCTCAATTATTTGGAGCGCTTGAGGTTCCTAAACCTGTATTCCCTGGAACGCAGGAGGGAGAGATACATGATTATATACACCTGGAAAATCCTCGAGGGACTAGTACCGAACTTGCACACGAAAATCACTCACTACGAAAGCAAAAGACTTGGCAGACGATGCAACATCCCCCCAATGAAAAGCAGGGGTGTCACTAGCACGTTAAGAGACCATACAATAAGTGTCAGGGGCCTGAGACTGTTCAACTGCCTCCCAGCACACATAAGGGGGATTACCAACAGACCCCTGGCAGTCTTCAAGCTGGCACTTTACAAGCACCTAAAGTCAGTTCCTGATCAGCCGGGCTGTGGCTCGTACGTTGGTTTGCGTGCAGCCAGCAGCAACAGCCTGGTTGATCAGGCTCTGATCCACCAGGAGGCCTGGTCACAGACCGGGCCGCGGGGGCGTTGACCCCCGGAACTCTCTCCAGGTAAACTCCAGATAGACAACTTTGAAAACAAGGTAATTCCTATTCAAAAAAATTCAGAAGTTTATTTCCACATGATACATTTTTATACAGAAATGGGTGACATATGCTAATGCACATAGAAACTGTATGACCCTTGTGGGTTTAGCACTTAGTTTTTGCTTGTACAGTAATAATAATAATGCACGTAGAAAATCCACGGTTATGCAGAAAATTTCAGTTGTCAGTGGTGCCATTTTTTAAATTACCTGTGCTCTCTCGCTTAGAGTATTGCTCAGTGTTGATGGTTCCATTCAGGGCAGGAGAGATGTCGGAGCTGGAATGGATGTGGAGATCATTTACGGTCCACAGAGAGCCAATAAAGCACCAGAATTACTGGGAACTCGTCGAGATTCTTGAATATATACTCACTGGAATGGAGAAGAGAGAGGTACATGTAGATGATACTTGTGGGTCATGTCCTAAATCTGCACACTAGCCTAAATCAGCTAGCAGTAACAGCCTGGTTGATCAGGCTCTGGTCCACCATGAGGCCTGATCACAGACCGGGCCACAGAGGCTTTGACCCCCGAAACTCTCCAGGTCTACCATAACAGCATACTGTCATTAACGAGTGTAGTTTAATGTGTTCCATATATCAAATGTACTATTTAACTTCTCTTTTTCAGATCGAGGTCTATGCAGCTTATATCCGTGGAGCAGCTCTGTACACTACTGAAGTTTGCCCTCAATCGTCTCAAAACAATGCCAGGGGTGAGTCACCACGGACTCAGTTAATTTTCTGGCCTGGACAAAATAAGTAAAGATGATAAAATTTATTTGTTTTGTTGCCTGTAAACTATTATAGATGAGTTAGTGTATTTATGGTGCAAGTGTGAATTCAGGTAGTGAAAATAAGAGGGGTATCTGTGCAGTATTTATACATTACACCAAAGAGGACCTCTTAATTTCTGCTCTGTTTTCTCCACATAGGTTGGCTTGATCATTGATCAGTGTTTATTACACAACTGAATCATGGAATGGATAGGGTTGGAACCCATGACAAGTGAGTGGTAAAACTCACAGGGCAGTGTCTTAACCACTCAGTTGGTTAACACACTGCCCTTTGCATTGTACGACTTGCTTGCCATAGGTTCAACTCTCACCTGTTACGTGACTTGTTTGCAATCGTGTTATCACGATTTCTCGAGTCTGTATCTGAATGTTTACTTATCACAGCAAAAACTTTAATTCTACAAATAATACAAATCCTGGTAATTATTGTACTTAGTTACTTTTTCAGTATATGTGTCTTACAATGTTCACTATTCTTGAACTAATGATGTTCAACCAGGAAGCCAAATGTAATAAACTTCAGTGACCCTGACCACTTTATTAACAAGTGATTTATAAATTTATTTTGCTGTACACATTTGTAATTATGATTGCTAACTGAAGTATATTCTGATAATGAGCAACTTTTCAATTGTTTCTTTAAAAGAATTTGTCAACCCTCCAACTAAAGTGCCCCATGGCATTGTTGTAGGCCTATGTATGGTCCATGCTTGATACATCCAGTGTGCAACCCCCTCCCTACACTCCCTCTCCCTCTCTCTCTCTCTCTCTCTCTCTCTCTCTCTCTCTCTCTCTCTCTCTCTCTCTCCCTCTCACTCTCTCTCTCTCTCTCTCTCTCTCTCTCTCTCTCTCTCTCTCTCTCTCTCTCTCTCTCTCTCTCTTCTCTCTCTCTCTCTCCTCTCTCTCTCTCTCTCTCTCTCTCTCACTCTCTCACTCTCTCACTCTCACTCTCACTCTCTCACTCTCTCTCTCTCACTCTCTCTCTCTCACTCTCTCTCTCTCTCCTCATCTCTCTCTCTCTCTCTCCTCTCTCTCTTCATCTCTCCTCTCATCTCTCTCTCCTCTCTCTCTCCTCTCTCTCTCACTCTCACTCTCACTCTCTCTCTCTCTCTCTCTCTCTCTCTCTCCTCTCCTCTCTCTCTCTCTCTCTCTCTCTCTCTCTCCTCTCTCTCTCTCTATCTCACACACACACACACACACACACACACTCACACTCACACACACACACACTCTCACTCTCACTCATGAGCTCCTTGGTCCAGCCTATTTTTAAAGATATTCAAAACTCCTGCTTCAGTGATGCTACCTGGGATTTTGTTCCATTCATCCACATCTTTATTGCCAGACCATTGATTTTGTATATCTTATGTAAACATAAATTTTTCAAACTTGAACCCATTGCTGCTAGTCCTGTCTTGTATAGGTATTTTCAGCACATTTTATATATCCATTATATTTATTCCAGTTTTCCTTTTGTACATTACAGTCATATCCCCCCAAATCTAAGCCTTACCTGAAAGTGCAAATTCACTGCCTTGAGTCTGTTTTTGTAGGAAAGATTTCTGATACAGGTGGTCCTTGCTTATACAGTGGGTTAGGTTCCGGGTTACTGATGTAAAGTGAAACAGTCGTTTTTCCACCTGCATATGCACATAAAAGCCTGAATTCATAGTATGGAAATTAAGAGGAGGTGTGGAGTTACTGGAAGTATTATTCAGAGGACTGACGAGGGGTTGTTGAGGTGGTTTAGGCAGTTAGAGAGGATAGAGCAAGATAGGATGACTTGGAGGGTGTATAAATCTGTAGTGAATGGGAGGAGGTGTAGGGATCATCCTAGGAAAGGATAGAGGGAGGGAGTAAAAGAGGTTTTGTGTGCAAGGGGCTTGGACATGCAGCAGGCATGTGTGAGCATGTTAGAAAGGAGTGAATGGAGACGAGTGGTTGGAGTGTGAGCAGGGTAATATTTTGTGAAGGGATTCAGGGAAACTGATTAGCCGGACTGGAGTCATGGAGGTGGGAAGTACAGTACCTGCACTTTAAAGGAGGGGTTTGGGATATTGGCTGTTTGGAGTGATATCTAAACTGTTGTATCTGAGTACCTCTGCAAAGACAGTGATTATGTGTGAATGATGGTGAAAGTGTTTCTTTCGTTTTTGGGTCACCCTGCCTTGGTGGGAAAAGGCCGACGTGTTTCAAAAAAAAAAAAAATTACACTGTCATATATTCAGTGATCAATAGAGCTAGACCTAAAAATGCATGTCCAGTACACACATTACTTAAAATTTGTTCATCCTTAGCTTATAGTGTGTGGTAATATATTTATTGTAAGAATTCTGAATAAATGAAGAATGGGTAGAATTGATAGCATTGCATTAGCAAAACACTGTAAAGCTGGGCATGCCTGTAAAAGGCATGCCCAGCTTTCTTTGTATGTTTCCCAGTGCATTTATGTCCATTCTGTTATATGGAGGCTAGAACTGAGCAGCTGTGTATCCTTGGCCTTGCCTTGCCTTGCCTTGGCCTTGCCAAGGATACACAGTTTGAAGTTGAGGTGTAGCCTTAAGACTTATGCTATTTATACTTCTTGACATGAAGCCAAGAATTCTATTAGGTTTATTGCTATTGCAAACAGTTATGTACTGTTGCCTTGGCTTTAGATTTCTGCTGTGCCAATGAATAACCAGAGTTGATATATTGGAGATATTCTATCTTGTTTCTGTAAATATCACTTTATTTTCTTCTGGCTTGCTTGGCTGTGACTGACATGTTCAAAACTACCTCTGTAGATGCTATATCCCTTAAAGAGTCATATCTATATTGAGTTTATTGCAAAGTGAGAAATCACTTGGAGAGAAATATGTAACAGATAAGAGTGATCAGTATATTTTCTGACGAGAGTCTCCGAGGCTAAAATATATGGGTGTCTCTTAATTGTTTCTCATATTTTTGCCCACGTGAATTCACACTGCAGTAATCAGGGTTTGACACTGTAACCCAAGCTTGTTATATCATAAACTACAGAATGGGTAGGATTAAACCCATGGCAGGTGAATCCTAAAACCCCAGGGCAGCACATAAACCACTCAACCAGGACTGGCTTGCCATGGGTTTACTCCCTGACCATTCTGTGGATTATTTGCAATCGGGTTTCTACGATTTCCTAATTCTTATCACATCATTTTTAAATATGGGGGCAACACCTGGGTTTTTCATTTATCTCAGCTGTATTATTTGTTTGTGAGAAATCATTCAGATGTGCCAGACATGACTTCATTTTACAGTGAATTTTAGTTGAAATAAAACCACAAATTAAAGTATTCGCATAAAATTGACATTTAGAATGAATTGTTGATGTGTCTCACTTATCTCTGGTTTGTGGCCATTTTGACATGGTTTCAACAATTTTGACATGGTTTCAACAATTTTGACATGGTTTCAACAATTTTGACATGGTTTCAACAATTTTGACATAGTTTTAACAATTTTGACATGGTTTCAACAATTTTGACATGGTTTCAACAATTTTGACATAGTTCAACAATTTTGACATGGTTTTCAACAATTTTGACATAGTTTTAACAATTTTGACATGGTTTTCAACAATTTTGACATGTTTCAACAATTTTGACTAGTTTCAACAATTTTGACATGTTTCAACAATTTTGACATAGTTTCAACAATTTTGACATGGTTTCAACAATTTTGACATAGTTTCAACAATTTTGACATAGTTTCAACAATTTTGACATGGTTTCAACAATTTTGACATAGTTTCAACAATTTTGACATGGTTTCAACAATTTTGAGGGAATAATTGCAATAAATCAGGTTTTTAAATAGTTATTTAGTTCCATTTTAATAAAAATTGTTGCTTTTAAAATCTGAGCACCATATAGCAAGCTCACTGGAGCTTCTTAATTGAATCCACGTTCCGAATGATCTGACTTTTTTGTCCAATATTTGCTGCTTCATTATTTTTCAGTTAAAATTTTTACTTAATGTCATTTAGTTGTTCATATATTTTTTTTACTTTGTGCTTTTCCATAATTTTTGTTGCTAACAAGAATTTCAGTTTATGTAAATTTTAATTTTTATTATTTCATATTAAAGTGATTAAAGTTTTTTGTTCTTGGCTCTGATTATCATAGTTAATTAGTTTTACTCATTATTGATTGTTTTTACCAAAGTAATTATAGTTAACTGATTGAAGTTTATTAATTATGCAAAATTCTCATCAGTTAAAATTAATCGTTATTATTTTATTCTGTTTATTAATAAAATCAATTTGTATATTTTAGATGGTGGTATTCTCTCAGACTGCAGATTACATCAAAGCCGCAGGAAACAGGACAAAGGTGGTGAATACGATATTACTGTGTTGTGTTTTGTAGAGGAATGCAGTAGTGTTGCTTGTTAGTGCTCCTCCTGATTAGATCAGAGCTGGAGTACTGTAATGCTGCAGGTCTGCTGTACCTTGGTCATTAACAGCACTTAAACGTTAATGTCTCGTTAAAAATAGTCTTGCTAATTGGTGTTTTACTGGAGGCGAAATGTCAATATCCTGACTGGTAGAGTTTTGAGTGAATTTTTAGACAGTGTTTTGGTCCACCCTAGATCATTATGAAGTCGTGACTAGCTTTCTCTTCATCTGAACTAGTTTAATCATACAGGAGGCCCCCGTTTGTACGGCCCTGTGCTATAAGCAAAAATTGCCAGCGGGTGGAAAATAGTTTTTTCAACGACAAATGTGTCTAAACGTCTTATAACATGTTTACACTACATATATTAAGTGCTCGGTACAGTTAGGCATAAAATGGACAAAAAGTAAAGTACACAAGGTAAATAAAATAGTTATGTAAAACTAGGGTGCCGGTAGCCCTTCCGTTATACAGCTGTTGCGTGGAAATTGCGGAGAAGTGGCAAAGGCACTGAACATAATGAAGTGGCTGAGTTGAAAGCCAACAAAAATGTGGAACACCGAAAAGAAGGTGCTGAATAAGCTGGGCCCTCCTGTACTTTTCTCATTTTGTGACTTGACAATAGTCTGGGATGGACTGACAGGTCTTCTGTGGTTTCCTCTCCAAATTATGAGTTGGTTGTGAATTTTATAGAAGAGTTGTGGCAGTGTTGTGATGTGCTGTGGTGCAGCAGGTTGGCAGCATGGGATGTGAATAATGTGCCTGTTTTACACGGAACAAAGACCAGGCCTGTAAACGTCATGGAGTCTCCAGTGAGCCGGGAACTCAGTATTGACTATAACCATCATATAAATGTCTATTGCATATTAATGTTGTTGGAGATTGCACCTTTTATATAAATTCTTTTTTGTTTTTATTGTAGATGGAGCCTTTCACAAAACCCGTGGACACAACAGAGTTTCCAACGTATGAAGATATCGTGGTGCATCCAGTAGATTTTATGTCACTTGAGAGGAACATTAAGCGCAAATTTTATGGATCAACTGAAGCATTCTCATCTGACGCCAGATGGATTGTTCACAACTCTGTTATTTTTAATGGAGGTGAATACTGAATTTTTGTTACTCAAATATAGCCAGACCTTTTGTTTCAAATTTTATGTATGGTATATCTTTTTATTTAAACTTGTTGATTTTCTAAGGCAAAATAAGCCATATAAGAAACTTTGTCACACACTTGCTGCCTCTCCTAAAGGGAACAGTTGTGATGGTTTGATGTTGACCCACAGATCTGCAACCTTTTCCCTCCACTTTCAGTGTGCAGGCACAGTCCTTTCCTCAACTTTCCAAACTAAACTAACTTGCTCACATTTCTGAATCTCTGTGTAGGTACTGCTGACACAGCATTATTAGATTTCACAGAACAGTCACTTTCACTCATTTTAGTCTGAAAGCACTCGAGTATGTCTGCCACGTCTCAACCATTCTTCACTGTCAGTGTCACTTGTCTATGATGTTTTCACTGTCCATCCACCCAAGATATAATATATATGGTACACCCTGTTTATCAGCTTCTCTTGCTCAGTGAAAAAATCTAAATATTCTCTTCTGCTCTTGTGATTTTTTCATTACTTAAGTCTCTACATAACATTTACATTGCATTGCACCTCTTTTTCCTGTTAAGTTTTTTTTTTTTTTTTTAACATCGGCCATTTCCCACCAAGTCAGGGTGACCCAAAAAGAAAGAAAAACCCAGAAAGAAAGAAGAAGCTTTCGTCATGATTCAACACTTTCACCATCATTCATACATAATCACTGTCTTTGCAGAGGCTCTCAAATATGACAGTTTAGATGTCCCTCCAAACTGTCAATATCCTAACCTCCTACTTTAAAGTGCGGGCATTTTACCTCCTATTTCCAGGACTCAAGTCCGGCTAACCATTTCTCTGAATCCCTTCACAAAATATTGCCCTACTCACACTCCAACAGCTCGTCATGTCTCCATTCACTCCTATCTAACATGCTCATGCACGCTTGCTGAAAGTCCAAACCCTCTCACACACAAAACCTCCTTTACCCCCTCCCTCCCATCCTTTTCGGGGACAACCCTTACCCCGCCTTCCTTCCCTAATAGATTTATATGCTCTCCTGGTCATTCTACTTTGTTTCATTCTCTCTGAATTACCAAACCACCTCAACAACCCCTCTTCAGCCCTCTGACTAATACTTTAAATAACTCCACACCTCCTAATTTCCACACTACGAATTCTCTTCATACTATTTGCACCACACATTGCCCTTCGAGACATCTCCATTGCCTCCAGCCGGCCCCTCACTGCAGCATTTACAACCTATGCTTCACACCCATGTAAGAGTGTTGGCTCCACTATACTCTTGGACATTCCCTTTTTTGCCTCCATGGATAACGTTTTTTGTCTCCACAGATACCTCAACACACCACTCACCTTTTTTCCTTTATCAGTTCTATGATTTACTTCATCCTTCATGAACCCATCCTCTGACAAGTCAACTCCCAAATGTCTGAAAACATTCACTTCTTCCATACACACGAAAGTAAAACTAATTGTATACTGAATCTAAGTATTAGTTTGTATTAGTTACCTGGTATCTTATATGTTCTTAAGACAGAAAGAAAAGACCAACAGTTCTGCCAGAATGCAAAATTTCTTAAGAGTTCTATTTCACACTCCTATGATAGGACATCAGTACCATCCTAAATGGTTATTGTCTACCATTCTGCTGCTCATGTCAATAACAAACAGATTAAATTGTTACTGTACGTAATAAGCAGTAATTTTTCTCTCGGCATATTTTGCATCCTGTTAAAATTAAAGAGATTCCTTTTTTTTTTTTTTTAGCTAACTCCAAAGTTTCTTCAATGGCACGAACGTTGGTGAAAATCCTCAAACAAGAGATGAGTGAAATCGAGACATGTCCTGATTGTTATATGAACGCTCATCAGAACCCCAATAGCTGGTTTACTGAAGCCTGTGTAAGTAATTGCTAGTTATTGCTGTATTGAGGTGAACCTAGGGTAAAATTAACCAGAAAAAGTCTAGAAGAATAAGTCATAATATCAAGGATGGAACAATTAATCCACAATTTGGAGAGGGAACAGATGTTTCGGTCCATCCTCGACCATCATCAGGTTAACATATTCAAGTAACTTAATAATTGTCTAAGATGTACCCAGATATTGTCTACAGTCTCCTCCAAATTTGGTCTAGTTGTGAGAGGTCTTAATAAATTAAAAAAAAATATGCTTATTTGTAGTTGCAGGGGGTGAAAGCCTAACTCTTGATCCTGCATCTTAGCTGACGTATGATAGGGTCTGTCCTATCCATTCTTAAAGCTGTGTATAGAGTTAAATGTTGAATTAATCAGTTTTGATATTCAGTGTCCCATGCTTGGTTGGTAATGCACTGATCTCACACACTGAGTGTCTGTGGTTCAATCCCCAGCACAAGTGGAAACGTTTGTTACGTTTCCTTATACTTGCTGTCCCTGTTCACCTAGCAATAAGTAGGTACCTGGGTGTCAGTCAATTGTTGTGGGTCGCATCCCAGGGAGTGGTAGTATATCTAAGATATACTACCACTCCCTGGGACTGGGCTTTTGAATGAGCTGAGGTAGGATAATGGCTCTTTGTGGCCGTAAAATTGATCTGTATTAAAAAAAAAAAAAGCCACTTAGTTTATTGTAAATGCTTTGTTCTCTTCATGCCTTTGTCTTCTAGAATCTCCCTTGAACATTTTCATCTGCCATCATGTGCTTGGGAGGGTAGAAGAAGCACCAAAAATATTTGATTTTAAAGCTTTCCCTTATTTTGGGTTATTTTAAATTTATTATTTTGGGGGTATAAAAAATTTGATTTTTAATTTTGTATTTTATGGTATAATATTGTTATTTTAAAATTTTGAAAATTTATATATGGTATATATATTGTGAAATTTATTTATGTGTATATATTATGTGTATATATAATGGTTTATATATGTGTTATAATAGTGTTTTTTTTTTTTAAAAAATAATTTTTTTAAAAAATTTATATTATTTGGTATAAAATATTATATTTTATATGGTTTATAATATATATATATAATTTTTGGTATATATATATATTATATTTATTATATGAGTATATATAATATATATATATATATATGAGTTATATATAATTTATTTTATATATGATATATATATATATAATATTATATATAAGTTTTAAAATTTTTAAATATAATATATATTGAGTATATTATTAATATTTAAATATGGTTATAATTTATTTTATATATATTAATTTTTTAAATATATATATTTATTATATATATTATATATATTATATATATATTATTTATATATATATATGAGTAATATATTTATATTATTATATATATAGAGTATATAATATAAAAATATATATTATGAGTATATATATATATATATATATGAGTTATATATTATATTATATTTTTTTTTTAATAGTTATTATATATTATATATTTATTTTATATATATATATTTTTAAAAATTATATATATATATATATATATATTATATATTATATATATATTTTTAATAAAATATATATATATATATATATATTATTAAAAATTTATATAATTATAAAATAATATATATTAATATTTATAAAATATTAATATTTTTATAAATTAATATATATATATAATATATATATAAATATTATATATATTATATATATATATATAATATATATATATATATATATATATTTAATATATATATATATATATATAATATATATATATAAAAATATATAATATATATTTATAAATTAATTTTTAAAAATTTAATATGACCCAGCGGGGAGATGGTGGAGGCAGTGGAGAGTCCTGTCAAAGGGGCAATGTGTGGTGTAAATATTTATGCAGAAAATTCGGATTTGGGAAATTGGGGAAAAGGTTGGAGTTAATAAAAGCATTAGTCAGAGGGGCAGAAGGGGGGTTTTTGGGGTGGTTTGGAAAATTTAGAGAGAAGGATCAAAGTAGAAGACTGGAAGCAAAAAATCTTAGGGAAGGGAAAAGAGGGGTAGGGGTCGCCCTCGAAAGGGTTGGAAAGGGGGGGTAAAGGAGGTTTTGTTTTGGGGGCTTGGATTTCCAGCAAGCGTGCATGAGCGGTTAGTAAGTGAAAAGGGGAGAAAGATACTTGGGACCTGACGATCTGTTTAGTGTGGCAGGGTAATTTTGTGAAAGGGGTTTCAGGGAAACCGGTTATTTTTTTATAGTCGGACTTTAGTCCCCGGGAAAAGGGAAGTACAAAACCTGCCTTTAAAGGGGGGTTTGGGGTATTGGCAGTTTGGGGGATATTTGTGTTTTCTCTATACGTAATGTTCTAAGTGTTGATTTTGAGCACCCTTTCAAAAAACAGTGAAATGTGTGAGTGTGGTGAAATGTTGAAAAGATGATGAAGGTTTTCTTTTTGGGGATTTTCTTTCTTTTTTTTGGGTCACCCTGCCTCGGTGGGAGCGACCGACTTTTTGAAAAAAAAAAAAAAAAATTATATATAATTGGGGAAGGTGGGGTAGTGCAAAGATGATAGTGGGGGGGTTGAAGAGGGGTTTGGAATAGTTTTTAAAAATGCATTTTTAGATGGGGGCATAAGTTTTTGGTTTAGGGGGGTGGGGGCAGGAGGAAAGAGGAGGGGTTGGTGGAAAGAGAAGTAAAGGGGGTGATAAAGAGAAAAGGGTAGCTTTCGAGAGGTTTTTTACAAAACAGAAGTGTTTAAGAAGGCAGAGTATATGGAGAGAAAAGAAAGGTAAAGAGAGGGATATGAGGAGTGAAAAGGAAGAAGAAGAGTGGGAGAGGCACTGTCAAGAAATTTAATGAAAGAAGAAAAAATTTTGAAGTGAAATAAGTTAAAATAATGGTTAAGTAAAAGCCAGGGAAAATATGGATTTGTCAGTTAAAAACAGAGTAGGGGGTTAGTAGATGGGGAGATGGAGGTATTAGGTAGATGGCGAGAATATTTTGAGGAACTTTTAAATGTTAAGGAAGAAACAGAGGCAGTAATTTCATGCACTGGCAGGGAGGTATACCATCTTTTAGGAGTGAAGAAGAGCAGAATGTAAGTGTGGGGGAGGTACGTGAGGCATTACGTAAAATGAAAGGGAGTAAAGCAGCTGGTAACTGATGGGATCATGACAGAAATGTTAAAAGCAGGGGGGAATATAGTGTTGGAGTGGTTGGTACTTTTGTTTAATAAATGTATGAAAGAGGGGAAGGTACCTAGGGATTGGCGGAGAGCATGTATAGTCCCTTTATATAAAGGGAAAGGGGACAAAAGAGATTGTAGAAATTATAGAGGAATAAGTTTACTGAGTATACCAGGAAAAGTATACGGTAGGGTTATAATTGAAAGAATTAGAGGTAAGACAGAATGTAGAATTGCGGACGAGCAAGGAGGTTTCAGAGTGGGTAGGGGATGTGTAGATCAAGTGTTTACATTGAAGCATATATGTGAACAGTATTTAGATAAAGGTAGGGAAGTTTTTATTGCATTTATGGATTTAGAAAAGGCATTTGATAGAGTGGATAGAGGAGCAATGTGGCAGATGTTGCAAGTATATGGAATAGGTGGTAAGTTATTAAATGCTGTAAAGAGCTTTTATGAGGATAGTAAAGCTCAGGTTAGGGTGTGTAGAAGAGAGGGAGACATATTTCCCGGTTAAAAGTAGGTCTTAGACAGGGATGTGTAATGTCACCATGGTTGTTTAATATATTTATAGATGGGGTTGTTAAAGAAGTAAATGCTAGGTGTTCGGGAGAGGGGTGGGATTAAATTTTGGGAATCAAATTCAAAATGGGAATTGACACAGTTACTTTTTGCTGATGATACTGTGCTTATGGGAGATTCTAAAGAAAAATTGCAAAGGTTAGTGGATGAGTTTGGGAATGTGTGTAAAGGTAGAAAGTTGAAAGTGAACATAGAAAAGAGTAAGCGATGAGGGTTCAAATGATTTAGATAAAGAAAAATTGGATATCAAATTGGGGAGGAGGAGTATGGAAGAAGTGAATGTTTTCAGATACTTGGGAGTTGACGTGTCGGCGGATGGATTTATGAAGGATGAGGTTAATCATAGAATTGATGAGGGAAAAAAGGTGAGTGGTGAGTTGAGGTATATGTGGAGTCAAAAAACATTATCTATGGAGGCAAAGAAGGGAATGTATGAAAGTATAGTAGTACCAACACTCTTACATGGGTGTGAAGCTTGGGTGGTAAATGCAGCAGCGAGGAGAAGGTTGGAGGCAGTGGAGATGTCCTGTTTAAGGGCAATGTGTGGTGTAAATATTATGCAGAAAATTCGGAGTGTGGAAATTAGGAAGAAGGTGTGGAGTTAATAAAAGTATTAGTCAGAGGGCAGAAGAGGGGTTGTTGAGGTGGTTTGGTCATTTAGAGAGAATGGATCAAAGTAGAATGACATGGAAAGCATATAAATCTATAGGGGAAGGAAGGCGGGATAAGGGTCGTCTTCGAAAGGGTTGGAGAGAGGGGGTAAAGGAGGTTTTGTGGGCAAGGGGCTTGGACTTCCAGCAAGCGTGCATGAGCGTGTTAGATAGGAGTGAATGGAGACGAATGATACTTGGGACCTGACGATCTGTTGGAGTGTGAGCAGGGTAATATTTAGTGAAGGGATTCAGGGAAACTGGTTATTTTCATATAGTCGGACTTGAGTCCTGGAAATGGGAAGTACAATGCCTGCACTTTAAAGGAGGGGTTTGGGATATTGGCAGTTTGGAGGGATATGTTGTGTATCTTTATATGTGTATGCTTCTAAACTGTTGTATTCTGAGCACCTCTGCAAAAACAGTGATAATGTGCAAGTGTGGTGAAAGTGTTGAATGATGATGAAAGTATTTTCTTTTTGGGGATTTTCTTTCTTTTTTGGGTCACCCTGCCTCGGTGGGAGACGGCCGACTTGTTGAAAAAAAAAAAAATATATATATATAC